TAAATCAAATTCGTGAGTGTTTTTGAGATATCATTTCGATTCATATCACATGATAGATCAACATCTCCAATCTTCGCAAAAAAGGGCAAACACGCGTACTTATTGTTATATAATGACTTCCATAAATCGAAAGAAGATTGTTAATCAATGCATGATGTGAAACTGGGTACGTCATTGCCACAAAGTTCTTATCGCATAGAATTTTCACGTGATTGATGGAGGTTATTTGTTTGGTCATGTGTCAGGCATAACGTTTGAGGTTCCGTGCATAAACGAAAAACCCGGATTACGAATATTACGTCCTGTTGTCTCGCTTTTTTTTTTTTTTTTTTTTTTTTTTTGGTTGCATGATGTATTACTTTTCTTGATTTCATAACAAGTTTCATAACCCTCCCAAATTAAAAGCAACGTTCAAGAGAACCAATAGAAGGAATTTCTCCTTCGATTCGTTCTTCTTTTTCCTGTATATATATATCAACATTATTATTTTATACATATTTTCTCGTTTATTGTTTATCACCACCTTTTCTCCTTCTCTTTTGTATATTATCAACCTTTTTTATATACATATATTCATTTTAAATTTCCATAAATATTCACTTTTTTACTTGTACCGACTTTCTGCTTTTAGTGTGGCGTTCAAAATTCTAGTTATTTTTTCTCTCTCCACATATCAAAATATTTTTCGGCACCATTAAAACCATCGATTCCCTAATTTTTGAATAACCTTATAGCCATGTCTTCAAAGCTTCTTTCAACATTTTCTCAAGACATAGTGAATCTCTTGGACAATTCCGAGGAATGTAATGTCCTAATTTATGTTGGGAAAGATGCGTCATTGTCAACTACGCTTGATAAAAGTTTTGTCGGTGAAAATGATAGAGGTATGGGTGAAAGTGTTTGCAACGGTGAGGTGTGTATATTTCGGGCCCACTCGTTGATACTTGGAGCGCGAAGCAGCTACTTCAAAACTGCCCTTTCTAAGCAGTGGGTCAGGAAAGAGGGTGACTTTAATATTTTGAGTCAACCCAATATCGCTCCAAAAGTTTTTTCAATCATATTGAAGTAAGTGGCTCGATGGAATATTTTACTTTGCTAGATAATCTCTTCTCATCCACAACTATGCACCTTTTATACTCGCAGCTACATCTACAGTGGAACTATTTCATTATCTGAACGCAGCATAGTGGAAATTCTTGAAATTCTCGCCGCAGCAGACGAACTTCTCCTCGTTGACCTGTTGGACTATATCCAAGAGTACCTAATAGAAAACAAGTCCGAGTGGCTTCACTCTTACATTTTGCAAATATATCAAGCCTGCTTGATTCACAATTCCTGCTCGGACCTCCAAGAATTTATCTTGGCTACCATCTCTTCGGATCCCGAATTGCTTTTCAAATCTGATGATTTTCTGAGAACCGATGAGTCTCTATTGTTGCCGATACTGAGAAGAGATGATCTGGACTTGGCAGAAGATGAACTTTGGGATTACGTAATCAAGTGGGGGTGTGCTCAGAATAATTTGCTTAATCAATCGATCACTCCAATCATTTCCACTTCGATCATATCGTCTTTTTCGGATGACATTGAGATGGTCGGCGTTGATGAACCGGAAATCAGAAACCCCTTTAATAGTACCAGAAGTAGCATTAGTAGTACCTATAGCAACTTTGCAAGTTATGATCAATCGACTTGGACACCTGAGGATTTTTTGAAGCTTAAAAGTACATTACGTGAATGCATTCCACTGATTAGGTTCTTTCAAATGTCGAGTGGCGATCTGTATGACAAGGTGTGGCCATTTCGATCTATATTACCTCCAGAACTTGAGGACGACATAGTTCGATGCCACTTGAAACCCGGCAATAAACCGAAATTTGGTACGAACACCCCAAGAGGCAACTCCATGCTAGTGGGTCACCAACAAATGTCACGTATAGCCGACTGGATAGACCGTAATGACTCTCCGACATATAGTGGAGCCGATATCCCTTACAAATTCAGATTGCTTGTTCGGGGCACGCGAGACGGCTTCGACTCTACAACATTCCATTCAAGGTGTGATAACCAAGGCCCTACCTTTGTCATAATGAAAATCGTGAATTCCGGAGAGATCATTGGCGGATATAATCCAATTAATTGGAAAACCGGGAGTGGCCGTCTAGAAACGAGAGATAGTTTTCTGTTTTCGTTTGGGAATAGGAATCGACTGGAGGACGCAAGAATTAGCAGGGTAAGCAGACCCAATTATGCCATCATCTTGAAGGATGAGACTTATGGGCCGTGCTTTGGTGATAAAGATTTGTGGATGCATGGTAATTTTTCGATGATGGATAGTTGCAGTAGCAAGGAAGATGATTACGAGGCTTGGATTACAAAGCATAGGAAGTTTGCAGTATCGGAATACGAAGTATTCAAAATCATTAAGAAGTGAAAACATAAATACGACTCTGCGGGGCGGTAAATTTATTGATGATTATTCGTTTACCCTTAAAATTTTTCAGTATATTATTTTCTTTCATTTAGGCATTATTCTGGTTTACAACCTTTTTCCTTATTTTTTTTTATTTTTTTTTAAACACGTTCATCAATCTGTTCTATATATTTATGTTTGATCACTCACTTTGTAAATATATAACTATTGGCAAATTCAACGATTATTCTTTGCAATGGTTTTTTTTTTTTAAGATGAAACATCTTGCTCGTACGACATAGAGTTTTTTCATAACTTCTAAATTGATTTTTTGTGGGACTTATACGTTCATTCTAAAAAGATTTAAGTTAAATAAAAAGGGCATCGTGTTTGAATTGTTTTTTGCATAAATATTTGAACTGAGATCACATTCTATAAATTTGTTATTATCGAAATATTTCACTATTATTATTCGAAAACAGTAGAAAAGGGGCTATTTATTGTTAACACTCTTTCAGTTAACATATTTATATACAGCATATACAGTGTGGGACACTCACTTTTGGAAAATTTAATTAATTATAATTTAATAAAAAATTTTACTAATATTAAATTATTTATTAAAGTTGTATTTGATGATTTTTTAATAAATTAAAGTTTTAAAAAACCTATTTTAAAAAGTATATTACAAATTTTATAAAAAATTATTGTATATATTTTATTTTATTTTATTTTTTTTTTAACCCTCTGTTAGGCTAGTTATGTGTGCTTTATTAAACATTTGTAAACTGTATATATAACATGAATCACTAAAGCTAAAAAAACACTAACTAGCTTACTTGTCTTTGTAATTACTACTCTAAGTACAATTTTGGGAGTAATTTATTGCTCCATTAGAAGTTCAAGTGAAAACCCTTCCAACTCTTAATATCATTGCTTGCAGGTCACTACTGCAAATCACTCTTTAAGTTCTGACATTACTCAAAACCTAACCATCTCATCTCAAATCTAACCCCTCTTAATAAGATATCTTTTAGGTCTTTATTTTCTAATCTTCCTTTTTCCAATATTGGAGTTTTCCTTTTCAGCTGTATAGTTTTGGCACCTGGAAGGTTAGGGGGTCTTTTTATCTTATTTTTCTTTTAAATTCCTTGTAATCGCTCTCATTCCATTATCCTTTCACATCTTGCATTCCAAATCCTTTTCTAGAACTGGTTACAAGTTATACTTTGCAGCTTCTTGATCCATCTTTTTGCTTCTTTTCCAATTCTTTTACCATGGCATTTAAGGTCTGTCATCTCAAGAATGAGTTCACTTCTTATTAATTTTGCAAAGAAACTTAGCATATCCTGACTGGTAGCTGAGAACTATTCTATTAGCCTGGATGTTCACTTGTGTACTTCATCTATTTTTTCACTGTTATCTACTAATAATCTAGGATTCTTCTCTTCTGCTTCCTTTTTCCTTTCCTGTGAAAGTTTTCTGAAATTCATTAAAACTCCTTGAAGACCTTTATTCCATATCTTCTTCATCTGTTCCTTATATGCTGAACATTCTAGCAAATTATTAATTGTTTCTTTCTCTTGAAGATCACATGCGATACATTTCACTTGCTTATATAGGTCTGGCTTTCTTATTTTCAGTTTACTCAATATTGATAACTCATCATTCATTAGCTTGATCAGGAAGCTTTTTCTTTGACAATCTTTGAAAGATGTATTCCATATATGGCTATTCATTCTCTCCCATACTAGATCCCATGTATAGCCTTATTATTCTTGAATTTGGTGGCTCCATTTCATTTCCGTTCTGTTTTGTAATGTTCACTAATATGCTGTAGTCTTGTTATTTATTTTCTTGATAAATTGTCTTATAAGATTATCTAAAATTTTGTTCTGCCACTTGATTTTTATAGAGATTTTATATGAGGTGGGATTTTTCCATTTTATTGTTGGAAGTTTAAACGCATCTTTGGCTAGAGTATCTGATTCATCATTATAAGAGTCTTGAGAATGTGCCTTGATCTTGATAAGCTTCAGATTTAGATCTTTTTTCTTGACCAACTCTACCATTCATATCTATAATTACCAGTTTTTATCCTTTAGCCATCTTTTATGTGTTCTTTTTGGATCATCTTTTTTAACTATTTTCCACTTTGAGATACAGGCTTGACTATCTGTAAAGATTTTAATTGAGCTACCTACTGGGACTACTAGGAGTATTGTGACTATTGCTATTAGTTCTGCACGTGTAGATGAGGGCCAACTGTCTATTCCTGTTTGAAATCTGCTTTCTTTTCCTGTATCATTTATTTGGATCCATGCTGCTCCCATTTTCATATTGTCACTACCATGATTTATTAGAGATCTATCTGAGTAGAAGGTTAACTTTTGTTTGGATCCTAGATTACGCTGGAGTATCTCTATTAGGTGATCTTGATATACTC